ATGTACTGGCCAAATTTACCCCTGGGAGCAGTTCCGATCAGAATCTGGTCTGAATTCCAGTATATGAAGCGGTTTAGGCACTATTTACCCTTTACTGCCCCAGTCTTCCTTCCAAAAACAGGCCAATTTTTCACCGACTTTTCTAAGTGAGCAAAACTGGCTAAAAATTTGGTTCCTGAGAAAGTTCTCCTCCTGAGAATGTGAATATCCGCTCAGAACGAAACCTCATGGCGCCAGCACCTGTAGCGCGGGCGCCGTGAGGTTTCATGGCGCCCGCGCTACAGGCGCTGGCGCCTAAACACCTCAAATCACCGGCGCCTGTGGCGCGGGCGCCAGGGAGTTTCGGGCTAAGCGAATGTCATATTCGTATTCAAAGGTCAAACTACCCCAGAAGACAACATTTGAGCCAAATCTGTCCACGGAGAAAAAAGTCGGTCAAAAACTGGCTCAATTCTGGATGGTTGGGCAGTAAAGGGTAAATAGTGCCTAAAGTTTATAGTGCCCATTGTTTTTTTCCTCACAAGGCAGCCATATAATACTGCCTAGTAAAGCCCACTGATGCCGAGATGAAAGCTTTTGAAGAAATCCAGTACATATCTTGCAGGGTAAGATCTGGGCGCAGTTTGCCTTTATGGGAGCACCGACCAGAACTTAGGTAAGCTTGTGCGGGCCACCCGTGTGAAGACCTCAGAACTCATTTGGCCAAAGTAGCGCACTCGACTTTTGCAGCTTCATAATGGTTAACGACACTTACCGAAGCGAGACCTGGTAATTAAGATGAGCCAACAAAAGGAACTAACGAAATTGCATGAATTCCCCCCCCCCCATCTCAAGCCGAACAGTGCATAAATCAGTGTTAAAAGACTGCCATTTTCCGACAATTCATCTGTTTAGGACGTTCCATGGGGAAGTTCACCTTGGTTACCGGAACACACGTCAGTTCTCGTTCCACTTCCGAATGCAAGAACGGATCAATGCCTTGTGACTCCAACATGTATGCGATGTTTTGTAACAAGGAATCCACCTCGCCCTTTACTTGTCCTTGCAAACAAGGTAATTCTTTCTTGTAGATGTGTAGATTTCATACGATTTTCATTGAATTAGCTAATATTTAGAAGCTTAAGGCGCAACAATTTGATACTTGCTCAAAAAGTGATAGCAAGGGCACTGTATAGTGGGGAACTGGCGAAAAAACTAAGTTAAACGGCCAAACTGCGAAAAAGCCTTTGTTCCGCACGATATTGGACGAGCATCTTTGGACGAGTTTCTCGTTGGCATCGTGCCTACACCTTCGATGGATACGGCTGCACTTCGTACTCATACATCCATGTATTAACGCTTCATCTCAATTGTACTTCATAAATGAAGTGTTAAGAGTACCAACGCCGATGTGACTGTCCGACCATTTGTGGGCGGGCGGTTGCAATGGGCGTTCGAATCGGCATGCTAAACCTTGGTTAGGCGCCATAAAGGCCCTCTTGGTTAATCACAGTATTCTTCCGTGCTAGGCGTATTTAACCCTATATGCCTTGTCGATTTATCAGGCCTTTTGCCTTTAAGTGAAAGTATAATACATCAAGAAGGTCTCAGCAGTAATCTACCCCAATAGTGAAACAGACCGGCATGTTTATCTATTTCCATAAGAACTTGATTGATTGCTTGAGTGTCACACTTCTCTTTTGTTTAGAATGTAATTTATCACTGGCAGCAACACTCCAGCCGTTGCGTTTCTACGGGTCACAACAACAGGGGGTGTAATATTGAGTAGATGCCATTTTTCACTCTGACACCAAAGAACTCGTTTTTATGAGATTTTTGCTGCAGCTTATCAATCATTGGAATGGAGAAACTGTCGAAAAGAAGCTGGTGGATCCTAAGGAGGTAGATATCTCCCGTTTGCGAGGCGCAAGGGTACACTGCCAATGAAATAAAGCACTTCGGTTGTTCGAAAGTGGGCAGTCATGGAGCTACGGGCTTGTAATAGCTTCTTTCTTATGTCTCCGCAAGAAATTTGGAGCGCATTATGTACATGCGTCATACAGGTAGGGGCATGTGACAAGATAATCGTAATACATCGTTTGATTTCCGTTTCGTTTTTCTCCCTCTTATTCTCCTCTCTAGACTGACACTTGTAACCTTGTTCCCCTTATGTTGCCCCCCCCCTTTTTTTTTTTTCCCCGCTGCTGTTGGTATTGCGCAATGGGAGTTGGCCCCTAGCGACGTTGGCGGACCTACTACGATGGTATCCGGAGTTCGTGTTGAAGCTGGTCCGAACTTGCAGTGTGGCTGCCACTCAGGGTACAGCATCGTTGTGCGAAACCCATAGGGGGGTCGTACTTGGCCGATGGGAGGGGGGGGGTCGTAATCTCAAGGGTCACTCAGAGCCGAGCAATGGTTCGACATTTCAGTTGATAGTGGGAGTGGAGCTATGGAAGTCAAGATGTTTAAAAAAATGAAGTTTATGAGTGTATTCTTTACAGCTTTAAATGCTACGTTTAACAGCCCTCTTTTCATGGGAAATCCCCAAGAATGGGTTCGTACTTGGCCGCGGGGGACGTGGGGAGTATCGCAAAAGTAGGCTCGCTAGGCATCAAACAGTACAAAGGTGTCATTGCTAAGGGTAATGGAACGGACGGAAAGCTTCAGAAGACCCGGATGTAAATAGGAATACAAAATAATAAAAGATTTATTAGCAATATAGCAAGAATAAATAAATAAATAAGTGTCAGTTTATAGCATGAACTCGTAAGTACGTAGATGACTAAATAATACGTCTCAAACAGATTCGTGCGTGTTGTCCTTTACAAACCCTAAACAAACATCTGCTTGCATGGATAAAAGCACCTGAAATCAGAATTTACACCTTTCCACCACCTCTGCGTAGGAGCCTAATGCACGGCGCACGGACCAAATCGATCAGAGATAGCCGAGCTTCTCTTTCACTCATTTGAAGGGAAATATGTGTTTTGAAGGCACACTGAAGTTTCCGAAGGTGGCACATAAGGAGTCAATTTTTCGGGTGGGTCAGAGGGTGGCGCATCTGTGACCCATCTAAAATATCTCCTGAACTAGTGGGTCTTCAGAAAAACTGTAAAGCTTATTGGAAAGAGAAAAGATGGAGGGGTTTCAAGACGACTTCAGTCCTGATGAAATTGCGTTTGAACGAAGCAGTCCTTGTGTGAATCATGGAAACCAGCTCGCGATTTACCCCTGGCCGAACCGTGACCCATCCGGAATATTTCACCAACGGGGGATTGTTCAGTTTGCAGCTAGGTAGAATACACAATAGTAGAAACTTTGCCGTTGCATGCTGCTCACCATTCCTCAAAAGCTCCGCACCTAAAAAAGATATAACCCCCGAACAGACCCCAGGACGTTGGCAAGTCCAACAACCGCGCTCCAATGACGTTTTTCCAAAGAAAGCGGTCGCAGCCTTGCGCCCTGCAGCCTGATCGATAATAGCCAAGTATGGAACGATTTACTGCCGGCCTGGTTATCCTTTTTTCATTTAGCTCTGCATTTTTTGTATTTTCCATGTTTCGCTTTGTTGTGTCGTGCATGTTTTCATTATTTCCCCGTCACCATTCATTGAATGCACATCTGGGCCCTGACACGCTCACCTTGGGGCTATTTTTTTCACCAATTCAGCCTATCAATGATCACCATTAGCCGCTATTTCAATTGTGTTTCTTGTTACAAGTTGCATGTCATACATAGTTATCGAACGAGGAGTTTTATTTTGAATCCTAAGACAAAATTGTAGGTAATGCGAGGCTGTTGTTCAGCCTCATATTGCATGAGGCTGAAACAGCCTTTTATTTCCTGTATTTTAGAGCAGAGTGCGCCTTTCGAGAATCCAGATTCCATTTCAGGAAGCCATTTGTGGTGAACATGCATCTGGTTGTCAGTTAGAGCAGGAGGGGGGGGGTCGTATCTGGACCCTCTTCGAGGGGGGGGTCGTACCCACACCGCCATTTGACACATCCCCATGCTGTACCCTGGCCACTGCCCTTCTGAGCTATCTATCGTCTGCCACTCCCAGAAGCGCCCACCCCCCCCCTCTTTTTTCTTCTCTCCATCCCATTGTTCAGGGGTTATCGAAATATTGGTTCGCAACACGTTACTATTTTTTGAGTTACCGATAATAAATCAAATCAAATCAGTAAGTCGCGCTGATGGTCGCAGCGAACGTCGCCGCACCCTCTGGACGAATTACCCTGCCTCTGCGTTTCCAGTGTTGAGGGAACGGAAAAATTCTATATCACACGCCATGAAGTCTCGTCTCCGGTTCAGTTTGTTGTGAGTGTGAGTGAGTGTGATTGTGAATGTGAGTTTCGTTGCTCCAATCGACATGCTGATGAACATCGAGAAGTTGCGCAGGGTGTGCCTGCGCGACGACGCGGCAAGTCACGAGTCTTGTCCGTCTCATAGCCATACGTGAGAGGGCACGGATAAGTCGTGGGTGTGTGTCTAGTGTGTCCCCTTCTTACAAATAGCCGGAGTGTATTGTTTCTAGGGCTGCGAACGGGTCCACCTGGGCATATTGAATTGATCCATTTCACGTAATTTTAGATTTTGAAGTGGCAGAGGGAAGCCCAGTCACTTCATTCGCACTAACGGCCTCTGAGTGCTTTTGACATTGGTTTAGCGGTCACAAATGTAAATATGATGGTAATTATACTCGAAATCCCTGAGATCGGGTAGGCGGAGCATTCGAACACTGTAAGGAACTGGTTACTAGTGGAATATTCCAGTCTGGGACAACTGTCATCTTGTTCTCTGTTGGACAGAGACACGACAACGATTGTGTCGAGTGAAAATATCGCATCAGAAGCGTAGACGCCTTAAGGATAAGTTGAAACATGCGGCCACGCCTACCCGATCTCAGGGATCTCGAGTGTACAAACCTAATTCGGAAGCTCTGTGGAATAAGGAAAATTACGTCCATGGCCTTATTTTTAGTAACATTCTTATTGATTGCTCAGTTCTTCAATTTCAGGCTGGAACCATCTTTTCTGGTTGATTTAAGTAGTCGTAAATGTGTAGCTGAGTTATCTGCTCCTCAAAGCATACACGAAGTGGAAGTCTTGCAGAATGACGATAATAGCGATGTTCTTGTAGGTCCCTCGCAAATCAATGTAGTTCCTACCTTTTGAATAGATTTCGAAGTATGTAAGTGAATTTTGTTTTATAGCTGACGAGCTTCACGGGAGCACAGTGGATTATCCCTCTCGAAAACGGTAATCGTAGCGTGACGGAAGTGCTGACAGCATGTATCCCATCAGAATTCAAAAAAGTGAGTTCATTGTCCTACCTTAATACCTTCCCCATTGTAAGCCTGAAATATTGGGATTATGTTGCTAAGGTGGAACCTCCAACGTCACATCTTAACTGTTCCACAGAGGGTATCACAGTTTTGGATACTGGTGGATGTTTTGTCGAACTACACAATGATTTGTCATCGCTCAACGGGGTGCCTAAAAAACGCTTCAAAGTAAGTGGCGTTAATAGTTTTTATTCGCATTTTATCTTTTGATATCTTTCCAGGGTAAAAACGAACACTCGGACTTTGAACTTAAAGGCATTTCGCAGTTTTGCTTCTCGAGAACAAAGGGGTCTCTTGACACAATTGAGGCTACGCCTATCCGCTCTCCCACAAGGCGGTGACAAAGCGGCCGAACATTACATGGAGGGCACTAAGAAATCATTTACAAAAGCGGGAATTATCGATTCGCGGGTGTAAACTAGAAATTCCGGAGAACTCGTCCGTTGGTGCAAGCTCTAAGGCCCCGTTCACACTTTGCGACTGAGGGTCTTCGGCGATTTGAGAGATTGCGACGAGGAAACTATAGGTATCGATCTGGCAACTGCGGAAATGGTCTGGTGATTTCAGCGGTCGGCGTTCCCGGCGATTGCTCGTTAGAGTAGTGCATGGAAATCGATCAAAGCAGGTAGATAGGTAGATAGCGATTGCGACATTCGCCTATAAGGCTATTTAGGAGACTGAGCGATCCGGCGATTTGAGAGGTTCGGTGACCCTGGCGTTTTGAAGGATCGCCTCGATATCCATCTAATCCTTCAGCACGCAATCACAACAGACGCCGAGACCCTTGGATAGCCGAATCAACAATTCTCCCTTCCACGTCGCGCAATCTCTCGAATCGCCGAATCTCATCAGTCGCAAAATATGAACGCGGCCGAAGCATTTCACATATGAAGCGCTCTCTGCGATTTCTTTTGATTTTTCTTTACGGTTGCGCCCTCAAATCTACACCACCTTACCGCCAACTTGTTTGTATCACTGAACGTGACTGTAACTCTTCCCTGGTTCAGAATTTCATATCTATTACACTCTAGTTTGCTGCGGACGGTTGGGCGTGTCAGGCAGTATGAGTGTTCACACCGTCAAAGCCGTTCTCTGCCTTCTTGTTGAAGCGCGCATGCGACAAAAAGTGGTAGAAAACGAGTAATACGAACGATATGATACAGTCATATCATTTGCTCGCTTTAACAACTGGTGGAGAACGGGTTTGGCACCGCGCCAAACTCATTCCGCCTGACACGCCCAACCGTCCGCAGCAAACTACACTATACGTTTTTGGTCACTTGATCAGTTTTCATTATCATTAGTATTGTTCAGTTCAGTGTTCATTCAGGTGCCTCCTGATACATGGATGATACACTATACCGACAGCGTCCTTTTTGCTGTTTCAAAGCAGTCTGAAGTGCGAAGTGCAGTTCACTTTGGTGTAGGTTCATTTTGCACGACCTCCGTTCCGTAGAGCGAAATTCAAAAATGTTTTTTTATAGCTGAGCGCTGTGCGATTGGAGTTCTCAATAGTGAAAGGTGCATGTGAATGGCGACCACTGGGATTTGTGCCACTTTCACGTCGAGCTGCTCGTCTTCCATCCTGTCTAATCATCAATGAACGTGGTTTAATACGGGTTGTACAGAGTTCGAATAGGTAAGTTTTTGACACAGAACTCAATGTCTTCTTCCTCCTGCTCACTTCTCCGCCTCTCTGCAGTCAGCGGTTGATCACAAGCACTTGACATCTGCTTGATGTTCGTGTGGTGTTTATCACTTGGCTGTACGGCTCCTATGAACGTGAGCCTCTTCATCCACCCAAAACTCACCCTATGAAAGTACTTATAGGATGTCAAGATGGTGTTACAAATTTTCACTTGACTCCAGTTGTTGTCCTGTTTCTAGGGCAAAAGTCCTTCCATCCGATATCGTCAACTTTTATTTCAGTCCGCTTGAAAACGTCGCTGCTGAGTTTCTCTTCCGAATTCCTAATTTTTCTCTCGTTTCAATACAACATGTGGCCAAACTTTGCTCCATTGATGCTCCGCAGCTTCAGGTATTTGTTATAGTTTGGGTTTTTCACTTTTCTGATTTTTCGGAGTGCTACATTTTGTTTTATTCTCACATTGCAAGTATTTCATTACCACTAGATATCGATCTTTCCTTGAGTTTTTCTTTTATTTTGCGGATGAATATTTTGTGAGATGTTTACCCATTTTTCAGCGCAGTGTAATTCCAACCTTGCTGTCAGCACGTCGAGGAAAGGCTCTATCGCCACTTGATCTTCTCCCGTCTACTTTCGATGGCCAAAACTGCTGAGGTTAGTCTCAACGCCAATCAGATTTGAGCCCATTTTCGATACTTGCTTTATAGTCAGTACCCTTTTCTATCTGTAGAAAACTCTTATTGATGTTGTGTCTTCAAGTGCTCCGCATTTGCATGGCAGGGTAGAGGTAGAAAGTGGAAAGGGGTGCAGCTATCATTCGCGTGTTTTGGATCCAGCCCCGGGTGCGTTTCCTGTCTCGCCTTTTCGTCCCGAAAGTCGCTTACATGACACCACATACTTTTGGGAGGAGAGCTACCTTGAATAATGCCTCCGCTGGCCTTCACAGACCAGTGGACAGGCCCAAGCACTTTGAATCCACTACAACCGAAGATCTAGTTCACAGCATAGAGCTAAAAAAAGGTGAGCTGAGCTGACCGAGCGCGTTTTCTTTCGTGAAGTGGCCCTGATAAGGACGCTGAATAGTAACATTCGGCAGTGAATGGCCAACGTTTTCCTCGATGTTTCAAATTAAGTCAATATTTCGTCCTTTCCCGCAGGGAAGTATTCCATGAAGTAAACCGATATTCGTTTAGGTGGAAATGGAGAACCTGGTGGATTTGTTCGCCACCTATCAGCAAGAGGAACAGCTGTTGCCCGAGGTTAGCTTTTCAGTAACCCACGTTTTTTGTTTTGAATCCATGCTACAAAAGCAATTAAAAACGTATCAACAAGCAATATGTCTTTTGAAATAGGGTGTTTTTATCCTTGTCTTCGAGAGCAGGGTGTTTGTGATTTTAGAGTGCGTTCATACTTCGCAGCAGCTTTTGGAGCATTTTTAGCGTTTTGAGCGACTTGGAAAGGTATAGGTAGAGCCAGCGTTTTAAGCGTCCATTGTTTTCAGTGATAATCGATAACTACAGTTTTTTCGTCGCTCAAAATGCTGGGTGGATCGCCTTCTTGCCTTAGTGCTCAAAATGCTGAAAAGCTAAAGCTCAGAAAGCTGCCTCAGGTATGAACGCACGCTTACTTTCCACGTTTATCCCCATTTTGGATTTCGTTATCAGG